GGTCATAGCAATCATACAGTTAAGTCGCATTATTAAAGGACACACTACCAAATACAGAAACAATGAGTTTGTTATTGAACCTAGGCTGTTCATCATAAACTTACAAACGCTGGCACTTGCAAATAGCTTCGTTATACCTAGTTGCTTTTTGGTGAGATGCTTCATCGGTATGCTACAACTTAAACTGATTTAGTAGTCGATAGTAATTGTAAAGAAGTTGTTTATTACTCTGAATAGTGTAATTTTGTCGACTAAAAATGATTCAAAATTAGCTCATTCATGGCTTTATGTAAAAAAACTGTACAACTCTAGTTTAAACGGTGACAAATAATAATCAACTGTCTAGGAAACTTTATGAGTTAACCCAATTCTATTTTCGGATGAATACTATTCTGTCTTTTATTTATGAATATTTTCTGATTTGCCAAAAGCTTTGATTCTGTTTGGCTTTTAGATTGTTGGTTGGTTTTCTGTTTCGGTAAATAAGAAGTAATGTTGATCTATCTTTCGTTTTTTCTAGTTGATGATAAATTATTGCGTTTTAAGTCTTTGGAACTAATATTTAATAGAAAGATAATTAATTACAAGCTTCGGAAACTTTTTTTTGTTTTCTGTCATTTGTGATACATTTGGCTACTGTTGTGAATAAGCTCAGTGCAGGGGACAGTTTATCATTAAATTGATGTTCAATAATTAATTCTCTGTAGAGATTTTAATGTATTGATTATAAGTGTAATCCAAGATGTACGCTTCGTTCTATTCTCTATCCATCTTTCTAACGTATCCACATATCTCTGTTGATATTCTTAGTTTACAGTAATTTGTTAATTTGATGTTAAGTTTCAGAACATGGTTTTGAGAATTTGTAATATGCAACATTGAGAACCATGTTAATTGGACTAAATACTATTGTTTTCCTACTTAAATCTCTTGAGATATTTATTACTTTAGATAACTTTCTCGAAAACTCAGAGTTTCCTAATCTTCATGGACATTAATTTGTGTTATCAGAAGGTTAATTTGTGAGTACAAAAAATGCTTGATAATCTTAAAAGTATTTCTAACTGAAAGAGAATCTATGAAGTGATCCTTTTGAACTCGTTTGATTTCCCTTTCTTGACTAGTGATCGTATCTTAAATTCATGTTTTCTCTTCTACAAATCAAAATACAAAGAAGTCAGCTGAAACTTTATATATCAGTGATTTTAATTTATATTTAACGACTTATTCGTTTATTTTATGAATATGTATTTTACTTGGTGAACACTTTACGCTTCTTTATCAAGTACACACAATATTATCCAACAATACATTCCGATGTCAACTACATTTTACTCTATACGAATCCAAAAAACTAAATCTATTGTAAAATCCTGCGTATTCACATCGAAAGGAGTTACTGTCAGAGTAAAATAATATGGCCATTATTCATCTACTAATTTTTGTTATGACTGTTTCTGAAGATATAAACAATCACAGCATGCAGAAAATGATCATTATTCTTACTTCGGAAACAGTCTTTACAAGCCATTTATAATCAGTAGTGTTTTTGGAAAGTTCCATCTGGAGCTCATCTATGTATACTGCAGGTCCTGTGCCTAGGTAAACAACAGCTGAGCTTCGTATTTGCAAATGTACCTAGCATAACACTAAAAAAAGCTAACCAGTGTTGTGAGTAAAATAACAAGCACGTAAATTGTATTTAAATATCTATGCAAACATTTCGTAACATGGTGATCGATTTTCGGTTTACTTTGTAAACGATTTTCAAATGATTTTTGCATGGATTGTGACTCTGTGTATTTCAATATAAAGTGTGTATGATGTATTGAAAAAAAAAATGAAATTGAAGATAATAACCAATTATACAATTTAAGGTCATTTCATACAGCTTTTCCGGTGAAGTTCATGAGGTGAATATAGATCTAGATGTTAATGTTATCACAAATGCTTTTTGCTAAGGATTTTGTGAAACTTTGTGCATTTATTATTCAACTGTTTACTGAACGATAAAAACTTTCGTTTAAATTTAAAAAAATGTTCCTTTTTTTCGAAAAAGATGTAAACACGATACATCAGTCTTATCACGCTCGTTTTCTAAGATTCGTTTGGCTGTTGAAAACTTGTCATATAATCATTATCTATAATATGTTTATCGTTTGCCAATGCTGATACGTCAGACAGGTAGTAATAATTAAATATTTTACAGTGTACTTGGATTCTAAAGTTTAAATCTCAAAAGAATGTCAAGTCTCAAACAAAAGATTTCTTAACACTAGAATACGTTCGAAAGTTAGTCAATGCATCTAGTGGTTTATAAATTTCTAAAGATTTGTCTATTCGAAACATTATTACATAATTCAGCTTTCATCCTCAAGTTAGACTGAGGATATAAGTTACCAGTGTGAATGAGTTTTAAGTAGGACAAATCATGCGTCCTGACATTTATTCCAGGTCAGTTTCCGTTGACTCATACTGTTTACAACAATACAGTTGATTCATGTTTTAAAATAACTTCATCTAATGATTTTATCTACAAAACAATTGTAATTTTAAAAACCAGTAACTGAATGTTCCACATCGTTCAGTTCGTGTTTCATTTACAGTTGTTTTGATTGCAGAAATGAATTCACAGTACAAATTCTTAACTTATTGGCATTCAACTAGTGAATATTCAAAAAAAAATCATTTTCTCTCCTTCTTTCATTGTTGACTATATTCGATGTATGAAATATATAATAATTTCTTTTCCATTATCCAAAGAACAGGGAAAGAAGGAAAATACACGAATCACTGTAATGATAACTACAAATACATTATTTTTATTATTTTAAGGATAAGTATACACTTTGTTCGAATCTGTGTAAAAATGAAGAATAATGTTTGTAATGCACTAAGTACTTACAATATCCAAAGAACTAAATAGAGATTATTTGGACGATGAATGACTTTTGATTGAAGGTAGATGAATGTTATCTGAATGTTACAGATAATATGATATGAGGTAACACGATTTGATGCAGTCAACCCTTGATTTTTTTTCTGATTATGTGTTTTGTTGTCAAGACGCTGAATTATTTCTATTTTAGTCTGATCCCATTCGAGTCGGCAAGTAGTAGTAAGGAAAGGATGTCTGCATCTATCATAACAATTTTTTATACTATGAAAGATAATTTGACAGGTTTTGTCTCGCAAAAGTTTTTATTATCCATATTGAGTTATGGAGAATGTTAATCTGCATTGAGATCATAAACCGATCAACGTCAGACCACCATTGAAAACCTGGATGTACTGGACAGCCATTAGGTGTTTGCACGTCAACTGAAGGTCCTGAGTATGATTCTCGCTTGAGAGATCGTGAATGTAAACTACTAAGGAGTCCAATACTAGGACAAAACGGCCGTCCAGTGTTTGCAAACTTTTAGTATTGGTCTAACATTGATCAGTTCGCATTTGCGGGAAGACTGAATTTGATTGGTACATGTCTAAACATATTAATCATTAGTCGGTAAGTCCTATGCAACATAGAACGCCTTTATATATGTGCATCAACTTTCTCAGCCTCACCACATTAGAACAGTGAGATGAAGTTATTCGGATGGTTCTCAGAACAGGAGCAGTGGTCATGGCATAAATAATAATTTAGAATATCAGCCTTAAAAGATACGGCTCAATCAGAAAACTCGGGTTAGTGGACTAAGAAGTAACAGTAAGATAATCTAGAAACCTAGGATCTGAAAAAAGACAAACAATGACTGAACCTGAAGCATTACAAGCGATTATGGGCACTCTCAGTATAAAGTCTCTGATCGTCGGTTAAGGCAATCATAAGGAATCTAACCAAGTTATTTGCACCTACCTAATTGACTTGGTTCAACAGTGAATGGCTTGATAGACTGATACCGAGACCAAGATTGGTAGCTCCTTGATTCCCTAGAGCCGACTACTAGACCAGACAATAACTAACATATATACCAACCGTGCCCGTTAATAAAGATTCATAAACTCATCTATCGGTCGGTAATCTGTACTTAGCGAACTATGCTCAGCCTCATATTTGCCGACGTGATAGTCGAAGAAGATACCAACAATGCTCCAAAGACATGCATAATCAAAAATTAGTGACTTTCGAATATCTCCTCTTCTTAAAACCCCCACCTACAGAGAAAAATGGAGCGAACATACGCTCAATAAATTCGTGCTGTGGTTGGTAAATGAATAGCTCACCTAATCCGCCACTGAGACAAGATGGCAAGCGCTAACCTCACTTTTTGGATCTGTGACCGAATTTCGTCAGATATTGATCCCTTAGGACTCAGTGAGCTTAAATGTTCCACTACTTATCATTTTATCAGGCGCCGACGATCCCCAATCCTGATATGATATTTTGCATTTAGAGGGAGAGTAACATATCCTAAAGATGTTTCTATTGTTGCTTAAAGCGGTAGTAAGACTGTTCATCTTTTCAGCAACTTCATCAAGAGGACTACCAATTGCACATTATGCGGCTATAGGTAAATCCCATGACAGCAGACCAACTTGTGCCAAATAAGTTGATGAGATCACTAACTCCTTAAGAATGATTATGACTAAATCAAATAAGAATAGAAAGATGAATAACCCTGACGAACCTCAATTGAGGTTATTAACTCTGTTATCAGTTGACCACAATTTCTAACTCAACCCGCACTGGTTAAATTAAGAAAGGCTGTGCAGACTAAACTTCTTTGGTATTTGCTCAAATAATCGACACTTCCACAGAAGCTCTCTGTCAACAAGATTGAATGCTGTCTTCGGGTCGTCTGGGTTATCTATAGTCTGGCGTTGACCTTTTGAAGTGCAAATACCTGGTCAGTATGTTCAGGTCCAGCTTATCGGTTATACACTTTAAATCATTTTCTTTACCAACCCTTTTTATCTATTACTATTGAATTCGTTACTATTTGTGTTACTATAGGTTTTATTTATTATGCTAACCTACTATTATTTTTCAATTACAGGCACGTAAAAACGGACAAGTTCGCAAGAAACGTATTTACTATTATCGCAGATCATCTCCACTTCCCAATCTTTCAGTTTGTCCGGTATATGAATGCGATGTAGATGGCTCTACTGACGGTCCAAAACAAGCAGATTTAGTCGTCTTCGCAGATTTTTCAGGATCTATTGATTTCAAAAAAAGAAAAAATCAAACTTGGTTAATGTTTAACCTTGAGTCTCCACAACATTCTTTATTTGATGAACCTGAAAACATGGTTAGTAGTAAATTTATGAAATTTATCCTGGCCATTTATTAAGTTCCCACTTAATGCGTTTTGAAAATGTTAATTTTCACTAATTATATTGCCTGTAGACTAATTTATTTAAAAAAGTTGTGCTCATTTATATTCATTTAATGCGACCACATAAATTGGTTTTTATTTTTATAATTATTGTGTTTACATTGACATTGAGTATATGTTGAGGTTTCATATGCGAACTTCAAATCTTCGAGTAAAATTAAATATCTAATATTACTGCTGTTGCCATCATGAAATTAATCGATAGGTCATAGTTAGGAAAAAAGATTAATAAATCTGAAATACATTTTTGACTTATAATCTTGCCTAGGAAAACACCAATGACTCTTAATCGGTTTACTTTCTTGATTAACATTTTTTATTAACATCTTGCGTGATTCATCCTATGAGCTTTAGGTATATTTTCAAAGTTCGGAATTTTGTAAAATATACTTGAATAAACATAGTATTATGATATGTGTTCATTAACTCTTTTGGCCATACATTTCTGGTGAATAAACTGACAAAATTCTTCATTGTCTTCAGTTAAAGTCATCTATATGTTTTATTTTCATTCTACAGAAGATCATGAATGCATTGTAAACTCTTCTTACTTCTTCTTACCATCTGTAATCTTTTGTTCTTCTAAAAAAAATTTTGATAGATTTAAATATATTAACTTCTATAGTAGTAGCAGTAGTAGTATTTTCTATCCAATTAAAATTGAAATTATTGTTATTTATAATTTAGACACATGTAGTGCCTCCACATACAGTTGAGTGCGCTTATATTTTATTAGGTTAAGCGTTTTGATTTAGTTATTTAACCAAACCATTTTTATAGCAACAACTTAAATGTGCCATCGGCTCTTACTATTATCTGGTTTGTATTAGCTGGTACGAATGAACATTGCTGACCGCATATGAGAATATCCATCTTACTCGCTTTAATGTTAACCTCTCAAATATTTTGATGACTCAGCCATTTTCCTATGTATATATAAATCTACATCTTAATCTTATTAATGCATTCGCCAATTCGCTCACTTGCTCCTAGACGAAATGAATTACCATAGTAAACTTTATCCGACTGACGTTTTGAAATTTAAAATTAACCGGAGAATTAGAACCACACATAGCAGTGAACAAAATTGTTTACCATTAGATTGTCATCACGCCTTGTTCACGTGCATCAAACGTAAATCTCATGACGATTTAATTAAAAACAATTTTGTTTGATCAAATGTTTTTTTCTAATTTTCACAACTGTATCATTTTCAGCTTTTTCCCTATACCATCGATAGTCCTTCCCGACCGAAGCTGCTACCTTGACGTGGTGGTCGGTCTTGCCTATCGTGATGACCCAACAGAGCTATATTGGCTGGAACATGTTCCTTTAGGTCCTACCATACCAGGCAGGTCGATTGGAGAACGATGAGACTAAAAGCAGCTACTCAAGGTCTGAGGGCGAAGTCGTACTGCTGACTGTAGAGGGGTTTGACAGCAGTATGGTGTTTCCCTCGGACAACCAGCATCTGCAGCGATGCTGCCTTCTCACAAGGAAGGAAGGGTTAGAAAAGGTCGGCCCTAAAAATGTCACACCTCACCCTACCTCACGGATTTCCGTCTCCTTGGGTAAGGGTGCCCACTAAGGACTTTTAAAGGCGGAACTAATACTCTAAAACCCTTCCATCAAAAGGCCGTCCGTGACCGGCCTCAAGCAGTTGTCCCCTGGGCTCTGCGGTCACGCAACCAGGTCTCTAAGACTAACGCTAATCTACCTTCCTTTTCAGGTCCGTCTAGAAACAACCTTCCACCGTGCGGTCAGCCTGGAAGTGACAACCACCCTTATACCCGTAACAGTACGAAAGACCAAGTCGGTCATAATCATAAATCCAAAGTCCTTGAACCAATATCAGTCTGTGAATCTTATTTGTAACATGAACACTTGTTTACAGATGATTTAAAAAAAAACAAACATAAATCTGTACTACCTTTAGTAAATTTGTATTTTATAAATGCTGAGAAAATGTGTGGCAGTTACAATGGAACCGGTTTTTACAATTTACAACAGTGGCTTTATTCTATATCACAGTAATTTACGGACTGTGTTACTTTTTCAATAAATTTGGAGCATGTTGATGTTTATCGGAATAGGGGACAATGTAATGTAGTATTTTTTGTTTTGGAATCAGTCTCCAACATGGTTTGCAAAACAGGGAAAACAGTCTCCGCAACCTCTGAACTGACAAAACAGAAATGCTAAAATAATTTAGTGATGTCAAATATTTTCTTGGTTTAAAAGTTATCAGAAATAGTAATGTTGTGGAGAATTTAGATAATTCATTTTTTACTAACTTAAATTTATTTATGAACATCTTGTGAGGTGTTATTTAGGTGTTGTATTAACCATTAGGATGTAAATTGTATCAAGTAATATTATTAAAGTATCATATATGAAATGGAATGAAGAATGTTACTTGTTAACTGGTATATAGAATACTATATTATAACGTAACTATGTGGTATCTGCATTTTTTTTTCTTCATTTCATTCAGTAGTATCCGCTGAAATTTGTTTTGTCATACTGCATTATTGAGATTATTTATAACTATCTTGTATTATAATTTATCTCTTTTTTTTAATATTTATACATCAACCATTATGGTCTTTGAATAAAATAACTATTCCACTTTTGTTTACAGATTAATTTCACCGCTACATACACAGTGGATTCAACTATAGTAACACCATATTATAAGTATGTATCATTTGTCGATGTTCAACCAAAAGAATTAAACAAGTTGATTCAACCTGTTAAAGATTTTTCTGTTGGTAAAACCAAAATGATTGCATGGTTTGTAAGTAATTGTGGTTCTGGAAGTCCACGAATGGAATATGCTCAGAAATTGATGAAATATATCAGTGTAAGAAACGCCAATAATTACAGAATCTGCAATAATTTTTAATTTGATTTATTCAAATATTTCATTATTATCATCTATGACAGTGAATTGATTATGAAAGCTAAAAACACAGGTCTAAGTATATTGACAATTGGTTTTTTTTGAAAGTAATAATAAAAATGGGAGAATCTGTTTAATTATGAACATTATCGGAAAGGTTGCTAATTTAACCTGGTGTTTTTTTATATCTAAAAACTAAGCCCTTTGATCAGTTAAAGCATATTAGATTAGGGTTAATCAATACTTAAAACTATAAAAAAGAAAAGTGGAAACATGTGAAAAAACTTTTGTACGTAGTAGATAACAGTTACATATTAATTCTGTGATTAAGAAAGCTCAAATTTATTAGATTGCTAGTAGAGTTAGTTATCTATAAATTTACAGAACACCCACAAAATTTACTGACTAGATAACTTTTACTGTGGGGTTATTTGAAATTCTAATGCGAAAGGTTAAAGTGAGTTCTGTTGTGAAGAGGGTTTTCACCACGAAGTGATATCATTTGGAGAAGCATTGAAAATCAGGAAGCATTGTGTTGATGCTTTGTACTAATATTCAGTAATTGTGCAGCTAATATTCATTTGTAATTAAAAGTTATTGTTCAAAACATGCTCAAACGTTTTGATAGAACTTAAATTAATTATCTACTACATTGAGCAGTTGTCTGACCACTGGGTATTGTCTAAATAAACGCACCGCATAAACTACTCTAACGACCATCAAGATCATTGTATTGTGAGTGAGATAAGTTTGTTTCCAAAAAATGCTGTCAAACACCTTTTCAGTATTTTGATGTTTATGTATCTTGTACTACTTGAGTCATCACGTAAATAGCGTTAACCAAATTATATTGACCACACATTCAACCTATATAGAGCATACTTAAGACAAGGTTCATAGTAATGTTATGATGATTCTGACTGAATTTTAATACGGATATGTATACCAAATTAACACAGTTATCCACTACTGAGTACCCATTAATACGACTATGATACAACGATACCTAATAATACATATATAATAAGAAAGTTGTTTGACTGCTTAAAAATTATATAATCATTTTATAGGTGAGCAAACAATAATTACTTTTAAACCTGGTAGTATTTTGTTGATACACAAAATATGCATTACATTGTTCCAGTTAACAGTGTTAACAGCCCATGTTTTATCTCTAGTGATCAGTAATAGGGTTGTGGAAATCATGAACTGATCAATGCTAGATCACCATTGAAAACTTGAAAGCCATGGATGATGGTTTTGTTCTAGCATGGGACTGTTTAGCAATATTCATTGCACTTTCTGGTAAAAGTAATCTTCTCGTTTGTATTATTTCCTTACAGATAAACAATAGCTATTCGTTTATAGTCATATTTGATATTTAAAGACGTGCTTTTTACATTCCATCAGATGAATATTGCCACCAAATGATTATCTGTTTTAGATAAATGATTTGAATCATGAAATTAGAATAAGTAATCCTAGAAAAAATTTATCAGTCCTTCGAATTAATGAAATATGCTTGGCAATCGATTATTTCTTGTTCAAGCGTTCTGAAGTAGGATGAGATGATTTAGCAAGCTACTTGTTGATCATTACATCAAATCTTAAGATAGACATGTAACAGCTATTTAGGAGTTAGGATGATAATTTTATATCACAGATGCATTACTCTCAATCGGATGTATTCTACATACACTATGACTGTTTTGTAAAGCTATTGTTACTTGGAATACAAGTGTTTATCTCTGTAATAATATAGTCTCAAAGAAAAGAAAACAAACACTGTTTTAATGAGTGTCATTGAGAATAATTTGCTGAAGTATTCTCTTCTAATTTTAAAGGTTGACTATCAACAGATACTTGTTTGTTTTATATTTTTTCTTGTTGTATCATCCATCGATTGTTTAAACAGAATGAAAATTCTCACTGTTTATTAAATAGTCTCAAGCACTAAAAGATAATTCAATGGTAATAGGTCGTTAAGCTGTAAAGTTTTATCTATCAATTTATCTATCATTAACTATTTGTAAATTATATTTCACTGATCAGTTAAGTATTAATTGTTGTTTATTATACGATTTATTCATTGCTAATCTATTCACTGTTATATTTATGAATAGGTTGATATCTACGGTGCATGTGGAAATCTACATTGTGCTCGTACAGATAATTCATGCTTTGAATCATTGAAAAAGGATTATAAATTCTATCTCAGTTTTGAGAATAGTATTTGTCAAGATTATATTACTGAAAAATTCTTTCTAAATGCTCTCAAGTAAGCTGCTTTTAAAACACATATATAAACCCTGTATGAATGTTCAAAAAAATGTTCATCAAACTGTTTCGGGTAAATATATTTACAAACTTTTCCTCTTTTCAATTTGGAATCAAAATTAAACAGTTACCATAAACATTGACTAACTTTATGAACGTTTCTGATGCTGACAGGCGCTTCGAAAGTTATCTGTGGTAACTAAACAGTTTAACAGTATATTTTAAAGGTATTGAGATAATAAACGACGAACTATATATATAGGACCGTGAACTGGTACTATCGATACTTCTTCCATAGACAAACAACAATTTTACTTACCTTCCTAACAAATTGCGGTTTACTGTTGTGTAGTATATAAATAACATGTTAAAATTATCAAAACCTATTTGGATATTAATTCAGTGGTGAGTGAGAAATAAATTTGGAGACAGTTATTCAAATATATACTTACACTATCATCTCGTTATCATCAGATAAGATGTTTAAACAATCTGGGAACATATGCTTTCAACAGAACCGTGATCCTTATTTTTTTTGTTCTGTTATTGTATTCTCTGCAATTTTTATGAAGTTTGTTCTCTTTACCGATTCAAATAAAGCAAATGTAACACTGATTAAAGAGCACGATGAGTTTATTGAATTTTGTTGCTTTCTTTTCAATCTAATAAGTTTGATTTCTCTAAATTAAATAAAACAATTTCGAATTTGAAAAATGTACTAGTTCCACAGTAGTTGACAAGGTGTGTGCGATGTGAATGTGGTTGGGAATCAGTATTTAACTGACCTTTAGAGAAGCTAGGAGAGAAAGCTGTAGAATATTTCAGAATAATTTTATTTGCGCAGTATAATAAAACCAACACAACAGAAGCGCCTTATGACGCCTATAAAACTACTAGACAATGATAATTTAGTGTGCATAAATCACACACATAAAATGTTTGTAATATTCATTTAAGACTATCTCAACGTCGAATTAACAAAGGAGTATAAAAGAAGAGATCTAGATTTCCACATAAAAAGTGGCATACGTAGATAAAAAAAAACATGAAGTGGGCAATGCCTTGAATCATAGCTTTTGTGCTGGTGAAAACACTTTACCACGGAGCCAGAAATTTATGCTCACCAGAAAGGTTGGAAGGGGTTGAGTAAGCAGTAATAAATCACTGTCTTTGATAACATGAATAACCTAGAGCATTTACAAGGGAGTATAGTACTAAACGCCATTGGATGATTAGGAGTTACAAGAAAGAATAGAAGTGGAGCTTTATTTAAACGATATGTAACGTTTATTGAACAATGAATAAGGGATTTCAGGTTAATTACCCTGAACTATCCCAAACTGTTTTACATTAGTAGTTATGATACAGGTACCTATAATGACTTCCTGTAACTAAACTGTACTCTACCAACTTTGGTCATCTGAAATGTTCCAACTAATATTCATCACAGAGTGATAATTCTGAAGTGATTCAGAAATGTAATTGTTTTACAAGATTGCTATCCCAGAAACTCTCAGTTGACAATTCAACAGTTTTAACCATTAATAGTTTGTGCTACTTTTTAGTTCTGTAGTTAATTATCTCAATTTATCTTTGCATTTTAGAAATAGTGTGGTTCCAATTGTAATGGGTGCAGCAAAATCAGATTATGTAAGATCAGCTCCAGCAAATTCTTTTATTCATGTAGATGATTTCAATTCTGTGGAACAATTAGCTAATTATTTGCATTATTTAGATAGAAATAAAACTGCATACAATGAATACTTTAAATGGCATAACCACGGAACAGTTGATTTTAATACATTTACTGATTGTCGACTATGTATGCTGGCGCATGAAATTGACAACATGGAACAGTCTTATTGGTATAAAGATGTAAACCAATGGAGAATGAATGGTTGTGCAAATCGTAAAATTCCGGTTATTTAATAGTCTAGAAGAAATAACACTGTTGTAAATGTCAGTATGAATTTATCTTTCATATTTCTGTATTTTTATTTTCTTTCTTTCCTGTACAAAAAAAAGTAGTGAAGAAACAGAAGTTTATGACTAGTATCTTCAAATACATTTCAGGTTTTAAGTGGTTATTTCAGCATATAACTGAACTATTCATGGAATTTTCTATTTTAATGGTTTGTAATGAGATATTTTAATTACTGCTCACTCCCAGATATACATATAACTTCAAACAAAATGAATTGTAATTCATTTTTTAACTGTGATAAGTATTTTTTTAATTATTTTGTAGAAAGTATATAAAATGTCTTGATTTGAGATTGTTTTTTTTCGTAAACTAAGGTGTCAGTCGAGAAGTAGGCATCAACAGTAAAGGATATATCGATACACTTTGTTACTGTTGGTTCATGTGCATTTTTTTTACAATACCTAGCTATGTTTTTATCGTTAGCTAAACATATTGTTACTCATGCACATGAACATGTTATTTGATATGCTTGAACTCTTATGAGTTTACCTCAGCCAATAAATGAGAGCGAGAATCGAGGACCCGGCGACACGACAGGCTACTCTAATCCAATTGTCCTAAACCCCCGCTGAGTAAAAGAAGAAAAATTGATGTGAAGTAGAACATGTATTCTACGATCATCCTGAAAGTAGAAGGTTCGAGTCCAGAAGAGGATAAGGATCCCAGACTAGGGATCTGGGTCCGGGTCATAAAAAGTTACAGATAATGCGTATTTATACAGTTAGGTGGAATTGGAAACAACATTTGAAGTAACATTGATAGTCAGGACGACAAATGGGAAACAACATTAAAGTACGTGATACTGATAGCTAGGACGACCTTAATATTGACCAGTAGCAATCGATCAATAAAATTAGAATTACAAAAATAATTCTTTTAAGATATTTGATGAATATCCTAACACATACATGTATATAATGACCGTAAGTACTCCGACTTAATTTGGAATTTCTGTTCGATTCGGTCAAACACAATGATACCTAATAATATTCATATATTTGAAGATGACAATGATAAAGCTGTATATAGATTGATAAGGAATATTCTGTACATTGAATTATTCAGTCTAACTAATCCATCATTATTAAACAGATTCAGTCAAGTTATAAGTTTTGTCAGATTAAATTTTTATCATTTATTTATTTGCTTATTGACAAACAGTTCGCTCAAACAGTTGTTGTTGTTGTTGAACATGAGATTCTCTACAGCTAGTTTGAACGATAAACTGAATGTCTCTTGAAACACATCACATCATTGCTCTAGTTTGATCTCATACAATATGAGGTGTACAATCCGCAAATTCCATGAAAACAAAAATTACTACACATCCTTCTTTTCATTTTATTAGATTGAATGGATAGCCAGATTTGAAATAAATAAATCTTGGTCAGTACAGGGCTGTAGACTTTGCTGGGTCTCCCTGAAATCATGAACCGATCAGTGTTAAATCACCACTGGTAACCTGGAAGCATTAGATGACTGATAAGTCACATACTAGAATGTAACGGTGCTCCAGTTCTTCGAGGAGTTCAGTGGTGGTTTACCGTTGATCGATACATTATTACAATGAAATAAAATGGGCATTTAACATTAAAAATAAAATTTTGTATGTAGAGTTTTGATGGAAATTGAAAGGATTGAAATAGTTAATATCTACTGCTAGATGAGTCGTATTTCACGTTAACTGTTGTTACGAATTTACTAGTCAGAATATACAGATGATGTAAAGTTAGAAAAACTGAGTCAGTCTATAACATGAATACGATGGTACACTAAGTAAACTAAATATTTATAAGTAAAATTTCATTAATGGTGAGAGAGATTTAAGTAAATTGTAGAGTGGTAATGTACTTTTCATATCGATCTAGTACAAGTTGGAGAAACAGTAATGACATGATAATTAAGAAATTAATACGTGCTTATTGGAGTAGGGTGACATAGAATGTAGATTCACAATGAGTGACTGAAATCCATAGTTGTAGCTGCAGGATATGAACTTTTTCTGTCAGGCTGTTTCTCAATTTTTCTCGACTTCTTCAATAATCCTATTGCTAATCTAATCTAATGACAAAACCTTATTTTAAAATTAAGTTAATGTTGTTTAACTGAAGATAAGTAGAAAATGTGAATCAAAACAGAATAAAATAAGTTATTTATGTTGGGAGATAGATTGAAAGGTAAACGCAGTTAACAAAGTTATATTTATTTGAAGACAAAATATATCACAGGCGGACATCATCCTTAGATCCATTGAGAACGAGAGAGCTCTAGGCCCACGTTCTGTCATTGTAAAAATCATTTCATTCATACTCGAAAACAACCACATACGACTTCAAGCTTATAACTCTTAGGTTTCGAAAATAGTTCATCTATAGACTTCCGCATCAGAATTCTAAGGTCCAGTTAGTGTGCTCGTCTTGAGACCTAATGTGCAGATGAGGTCTTAATTGTGACAAAGCAACTGTCCAGTGTTTCATAATTTTCAGTACTTTCTGGGTAATATTAACCTGTTTTCAAACATATTCTTTCATACACTGTACTTACACTTCAACCTATGTATACTCCACGCAAAAACATATCTTATTTTTTCTGCTAAACCACAACAGCATAGGCTTACACAATTTAACAATTAGACTCATACAATTTCTAAGGATATACAATCTTTTATTTAATGGTCACTATGCCTACCAAAAGTAAACCCGATTTGTATTGTGGTTACTGCTTACATTTACGATCTATTATAAATCTATTATCATATTAAGTGTAAAACACGATAAGCAATACAATAGATGAATATTCACTTATTTTGTACAATAGATTACTTAGGTGAATGTATTTTGAACATTATTTCACTGTTAAACAGATCAAAAATTCTATTAAGTGAAAAATGTAATAGCTATTGCCAACTAAAACTAGAAATAAAACCTTTTATCAGTTAGATAACAGTGTATAAAATAACAAAGCATTAATATATTATTCCTTATTTAAACACATTAGAAATAAGCTATAAGATGTTACTTTGAGTAAACGTCTCACTGTGAATCCAAATCACTTATCCATTCTGATTAACCGTCTTTTCGACCAAAATAACCCAATTTCATTGCAAACTATCTTGAGCGTTATTAATCAGTTTAGAGTATGATCTTCTGAAAACTATTCCAAATACTTAACGAGTACTTAACATATGTTAATTTGTGATACTCGATAACCTTAGTCAGCCAACCAATCAAAATATAATGTCCCAGACTTTCAATTGAAGTTGATCTTTGATCATGGAGAACTATTGACTAATGTAGGAGGGGAGTTATTACATCAAGCAGGGTTCGATTAACTCCTGACAAAACTCCAAATAATTTTAATGAAGAAAATTATGCTAGTTCGTTGATACATTCAAAATTTTATTATTAGGATGAGGAATTGCGACAACAGATAGACAATGAAGACTGGTGGAGTTCTGCCGTGAGGAAAACTAACTAAAACAACTGACGTTTCGTTTTTATTGAATAGAAATTTTCTTCTTTGTAGTCCACAAATTAACCATCAAATACAGAACCTTTTTAATGAAGATAAACTTGTTTCAGAGTTATTTCTTAATAATTTAAACTTTTGATCGACTGACTGATAGATTTTTACGCTTATTCAGAAAATTCAAAGCTTATACATCTAATCAAACTGCGGTCGACATAAGCATACTGTTCTAAGCGTTTATAGAGACATCTTTGTTTATGCAGCACTTGTTTGAATTAGTTAATCACAACATTTTACTTTAACAAATTGAAACAGTGTGCTGTTATTTTTTTTTACAACATCATTTTAGTTAGTACGTAACACAAATCAACTTTCTCTAATTATGCATAATAAATAATTTCATCAGTTTTAACATGGTTAATATACCATAGTTTATGCAAATTTATTCAGGTCAACAAACTCCTGTATTATGTACATTTGTTAAACATTCGTTAATAGTCTCAACCGAATGTGTCTGTAAATTTTTCATAAAATTTACAGGCTGACTACATGTCTGAAATTAGCGATATTCAACTGGTTAACATACTATGATAAACTGTCCTAGACACCATGTAATCTGTTTTATTTTAATAATAATAATAATAATAATAATAATAATAATAATAATAAATCTGTAAACTCTACTGTGAAAAGAATATTCGAGTTTGAATTTTTACAATCTATTAAAAAACTAACAAAGATCTATTTTAAAAATAATGATCTTTCCGCTGACTTAATAAAATGTAATACAAAACACAATCTAAACAATTAGCACACTTTCTCTTCCCATTATTCGAATAAACCGAAACCTCAAGAAAAATAATAATCATTTCATTCGATTACTTAAAATAAATGTAAATGGCTTACAAAAATGTTTGTAACGTAGGCTGTTGACTGAAGAACTAGAGGTTTTTGAAATTCAGGTATGATTTATCCTCAGTAGCCTTATAAAGTAATTTATTCTGTTGACAAACCAATCAGCGTAAATCTTATAGTCACTTACATACTGTGCTTTTTTAAATAATCCGTACTCAGAGATATACTGTAATTTCTCATGTTGTTTCGAAGGGCAGGTGAAGCAAAAGATATATATATATATATATATATATATATATATATATATATGAAAATATTACTACATCAACCCATTTGGATACACTGAGATAGATAGAATAAGACTATTTGATAGACATTATCGTACCATAAAACAGCCGACCAAATAAAGATGTTTCTTCTCAAACTCTTCGAAACTTGTTCCTTCTGGATAAACGAATCAAAGGTCACTGATTATCATAAAGTTTAACCAATTTACACGGATATAGGTAAATGGTTTAACTGTCTGTACAGAACCCTAACTGCGATCCATCAAATACATATCGACAGTCTGTCAAACAATGAAGTATTGAAAATCTGGACGCCGAAAAACCAAAGTTTCTAC